AGAAGAATCGAGAATACAATCTACTATAATTATCTTATGTATGAAGGATGAACTCCTTCGGAATCAAATAAAAAATGGTATCTCGTTGTGGACGAGTCTTCATAAAACCGATATGACTCACATCATAAATAGGATCGATTTTTCCGGAGCGTAGATATTTTGTTTTTGTGATCCCCATCTCGTCTCTTGTAAGATAACGAAACCAGTGAGAATGATATTAGGAAGAATTTATGGGTAACTGGTCATATTCTTGTCGAACATTATCTTGTGTTTTATTCATACTTTTAACTTTATTATTGCTTTGTAATACATAACTAGAAGGCGTGTATTAGCTAAACTAGAAGACAATGTATCAGAATAAATTAACTATAGAGGGTTTTGAGTTTTAATGCATTGGTTTGATAAAATCCATAAGCTGACGGTGTATGCAAAGTTGAATAAAGTTTTGTTTTAAATGCAGTACACACAGTTGAAAATACCTGAACCAATCGTGTTTCAATGATTTGACTGTGGCAATGCGATCAAAAAAGCATTATGAAACGCGGATGACTACGTATTTTTTTTCAAACTCTCTGTATCTAGTTGAAAGTTTGCGAGTTTTGGAGATTTTAAATGTATTGGTGCAGTTTTAACACAATTAACTGCTTCTTGCTGAACTCGTGTAAACCTGATTGAAGTATGAAAGATAGATTACTGTTAAAATAGAGATACTCAAACATTTTTGATAGTATATAAGACATCAAAGGAAAGGCAATTTCACACTGTTGAAACGTATTATTTGGGTGAATTTGAATACTTGGATAGAGCAAAGTCTTTTAAATGGTAACCGTTTTGTGAGAAAACAAGGTAACTAGTGAAAATAAGAATATATACACAGGATTAAATGAAAAATGATAAATAATCTATTCTGTACAATTCAACAGGTTAGTAGATACATGTATATTGTTCGCAGAGTGCTTTGTCAGTGAGTTCACTGGTTATTTTTAATTCATGTTTTTTCATGGCGAAATACGTATCGATCAATGGCTTCGGCAACTCTTTCATAAGATCGCTGTCGTTCGACAGCCTTTCAAGAGCATCGGAGAGACTCGACGGTAAGGTATTGATGTTGCGCATCTCTCTTTCATTATTGCTTAGTTCATGGGGATCCGTATCGGTTATTGCCTTCAGATTCATATTTTGCTGAATGCCCAATCGTCCGGCTATGAGTATGGCAGCCATACTTAGATGTGGGCTAGCCGTAGCATCTAACGGACGAAACTCAACGTTGTATTGATCAGCAATTGATCGATTGCTAAGACTCACAGTAGGAGAGATACGCAAGGAAGCTTCACGATTGCGATAACCCAGGCAAGCATAGGCTGCACTCCAGTGATGTGGCTTCAATCGCATGTAAGAAACTGGTGTAGGTGCAGTAAGTGCACAGAGTGCCGGTAAATGATTGAGTATGCCAGCTGTCCAATGCTCGCCCAGTTCCGACAGGTCATAGCGGCGTCCTTTTTGATAGAGTAATGGTTGTCCATCAAGACCTTGAACACTCAAATGTAAATGAACACCATTGGTTATGGCTCCGACATATGGCTGTGGTGAAAAACTAGCGTGCATATTCATTTGTCGAGCAATGTCTCGGGTGATCTCACGGACATTAACCGCACGATCTGCAGCGGCAACACCTTCAGTAGATCGGCAGGTGATTTCGTACTGGCTTCGACCATATTCGGGAAGAAACATTTCTGGTTCAACACCCGCAGATTGAAGAGCAGCAACTAACCATCCACCAAAATCAGCCATATGACGATGAGCTCGCAAAGAGAATGCTGGTAAATCACTCATACATTGTCGTCCGTTCAATATGAATTCATGTTCGAATGCAGCTATAATTCGCATACCAAGCATTTCACGATAACGTTGGATTTCTTGACGAAGAAGCTCACGTGGACAACCAAGCCAAGCTTTACCATCAGTTTCGATAATGTCGCAATGGATAATGTCAAACATCGGTGCTTTTGGATCTGGTCCATTACTGATTTGAACTCGGCTTTCACGATCTGGTAATAAACGTAGATCACCATGTGAACCCCACGGATTCGAATCAGCAATAACGTCCTGTGGTGTCAGAGCACTGTTAGCTGGTACCCAACCACATCCACTATCCCAATACTCATTGATAGCTTCTGTGGGAAATGTCCGACCACGTGTAATACCAGTCAGATCCGTTGTAACTAGCATTGTCAGTGCGGTTGGTTGAAGATATGAACAAGCATATGATGATAAATTCTTTTGTTGCTCATTAACAGCTAATTTCATCGAGAAATCGCTGTTATTACTATTATTACTACCTACAAAATAATAGATAAATAGAATTCCAGCTCATATAACGCTCGTCTATGTTTGACTAGAGGAGGTTTCTTTCTTCTACAAAAAGTTTATCAGTGTCGAGTGATGCATCGACCTAAGAAATGCAATACTAATATATCATAGAAGAATCTGTGATATGTCTCATAAATTTTCACAAAACAATCATGCAGTACAATACCTTGAATCTCTTGAATAAATTCATCGGTGGTCATAATACGACAGTAGCCACCAAAAGCGCGCAATGCATTTTCGTGACGCTCTTGAGTATGAGTTGTACAGGCATCTGCTATGCAAATCACTTGATAACCTTTGTCGGCAGCGTCACGTACAGCCATGTCAACACATTGATCTGTTAAGAAACCCATGACCACAAGAAACTCTACACCAAGATTTCTCAATATATAGTCGATATTTGTAGAATTGAACACACCAGAACTTGTCTTCTTCAGCCAGATATCGTCTTCAGCTGGAGCCACAGCACTTATGACATCAGCTTCAGGTGACCCTTTTGGAATAAAAATATTTGATAGCTTATGATCCAAACTTCGATCTCGACCATTCCGAGTGAGACTTTCTATAGTAGTATACATGATTTCCATACCCAATGGACGTACGACTTTAATAATATGAACCATATTTGGTATGCAAGTTTCAGTTATTTGCTGATAGTACCAAGGTGTGTTTTGTCGATGTTCAATACTGATCTCACTATTTTGTACGTCAACCAACAATACAGCAGTTTTGTTAGGAATTATCGCTGTCAGTCTTGTTTGATACACAGTCATTCTAAAATTCAGAGCAAAATCCAATTTACTACTATCCAGAAATTTATTTCAAATGACAAGATATAAAATGACTTTTCATCTTCATCACATAAGTTACCTTAAAGAAACAGAGTGAGTTAAAAACTGCAATTTATTGGTCTTCCCTAAAATCTATCGACGTAGAAACAAGACACTGCTATGGATTGTGCCAATATCAGTCCTCTGTATATAGTAACACCAAAAAAATTACACTAGTCAAATACTCGCTATCGAGCAGAACATATAATTATCTGACTCGTGCGTCGTTGGTTAATATCCACATTTCTGTTTTTCTTCCACATGATGTATATCCTAGTAAAACCAGAAATAGGATAAGTGTTTTTTTTCTTGTTCTATTTAGGTCGTACAAACAAGCATGTAACTCTTCATCGAATCAATGCTTACCACAATGCACTTAACAAAAATGTTTTATATCAAACGTGGATTGGAAGATCGTTTTTCTCTCCGACGATGAATGTTACAAGTGACACCAAGCTCATCCTCAAAACAAAGTTTTTGTACAAAATCCTCCTGCGACAATTATACCTCAGCACCCGTTTATTAAAATGTAAATATATATCTTGAGATTTTCATGTTATATCACGTATTCAAAAAAAAATGAGCATGTAAATGAGTTTTTTTAAGTATAAATAATGCTTTATATATAGAGGGAATTTTCGGTTTTCTATCAATCATTTTCAGTCATTTAGATTTTTGATGAAAAATCAATACGAAAAACATGAACAAGATAGAAAAGCAACACTAAAACACAAAAAAACGAATATGTTGATCATGTAAAGCTAAAAGAACGAAATAGAGAACAGTATGTGACATATGTGTATATACATATATGTGATGATTTCAGATATAATAGACACTGTTTAAGAGGCATTGCACGTAAGCCACGACCAATTCAAGCAGACCCTTGCTCAATCGATATCACCGATTTGGCTGATATTTTTACATTAGGTAGGCCTAAGAGTCTTAGGAAGAAACTGAAAATTTCAGCTCAAACGGATGAGCCATTTTGGAGATATAGACAATACAAGTATGAAGGGGTAGGTCCCATTTGGAGTACTTTATAGTGCAATACTTTCCAGTAAATCTCTATTTTCTAAACAACAACAAGAGTTATAACCGAGATTTTTTTATCATAAATACTATCGACGATGGGCTATATTTTTATGGTAATAAAAGTATCTCACCGCTGTATCATTTTTGCCTGGCATTATATACCATTTTCAGAAAACATCTTTACGTAGATACTGCAAGTTGGTCGATTCAGCGCGCTAGAATAAATCGAGAGTAGTCTCAGCTGAAAGAGCACATCAAACTGCATCGACTGACGTTTTCAAAATTTTGTGGAATTGAACTTTGGTAGCAAAAAGTTTTTGAACAAGACTGGAAAGGCCGAATTCGGGCTCCGACTCTCGCTATAAAGATTGACGATTTATTTTCAAATATTCAATTTAAGTGTTTCAAATGAAAGCCCATGTTGAGAAACCTCTAAATCTAAAATTTTAGCTCATTTAAACATGTCTGTGAAAAATGGTGAAGGAGTTACTTTTTAAAATTTTATAGGGTAATATATGTAGTCCATCTAATCTTTCTAATAGTCGTATTTCAGTTAAAGTGCAACCAAAAGATCTGAAATTTTCATCATAAACTATTCTTATCGAGTCCTTAATATACACAAAGTTCCAGGTCAAAATTCGAATTTTCATTTTTTTCGAATTATCTATAGGAAATTGCCGTGGTCCCCCTCAGGATCATGAAAAAAATGAAAATTCGAGTTTTGACCTGAAACTTTGTGTATGTTAAGGACTCGATAAGAATAGTTTATGATGAAAATTTCAGATCTTTTGGTTGCACTTTAACTGAAATACGACTATTAGAAAGATTAGATGGACTACATATATTACCCTATAAAATATTAAAAAGTAACTCCTTCACCATTTTTCACAGACATGTTTAAATGAGCTGAAATTTTGAATTTAGAGGTTTCTCGACACGGGCTTTCAACTGAAATCCTTACATCGTATATTTGAGAATGAATCATCAACCTTCATAATCAAAGTCGGGGCCCAAATTTGGCCTTTCTAGTCTTGTTCAAAAAATTTTTGCTACCAAAATTCATTTCCACAAATTTTTGAAAACGTCAGTCGATGCAGTTTGATGTGCTCTTTCAGATGAGATAGCTCTTGATTTACTCTAGCGCGCTGATCCGACCAATTTGCCATATATACGTGAATATGCTTTCCGGATATGGTATATAACACTAGCCCAAAATTATTAGATGATAAGACACTTTCAATACCATGAAAAGATAGCTCATCATCGATAGTATTTATGGTAAAAAAATTTCTGTTATAACTCTTGTTGTTGTTTAGAAAATAGAGATTTACTGGAAGGTATTGCACTATAAAGTACTCCAAATGGGACCTACCCCGTCATACTTGTATCGTCTATATCTCCAAAACGGCTCATCCGTTTGAGCTGAAATTTTCAGCTTCTTCCTAACTTTGTTAGGGCTACCTACTGTAAAAATATCAGCCAAATCGGTGAGATCGATTGAGCAACGTTGGTCGTCGCTTACGTGCAATGCCTCTTAAGGGCTGTTATCCTAATATTTTATTAGTATAATCAAAATAGCAACTATACTGTATTTTTCTCGTTTCTGATATACTATTTCATAGCATAGAAGAACCTTGAAAACTACAGTAAACACAATAACAGAAAAATACATAGTGTAAAGACAAATTCAGAGAACAACAAAGGTTAAGTTACAATTATGGATAACACTATGTATGAGAGAAGAACAAACTAATAATGGCATTTCAGAGTACACATGAGAGAAGAAAGAGATGAGAGCACATAAAAGTATGGATAGATAACAGACATAAAAAGACATCGCGGTCATTTTAATTGAAGATAAGTAACAAGTTACACGTTAGGTTTTGTTGTTACAATGTAGATACATGTATATCATATCATGAAGATATTAAGATACAGAGTACAAGTACTTGAACGTTCAGTGATTCTTCGTTTCATTTTATGCTTTTCATTTAAGTATCATGGCTATACCTTACGAAACCTGAGCCTTAGTGTGGTTTTTGCAAACATACATATTTATTGATGATATGTACTATTTTCAGCTAATTATATGAATTTTATTCAGAAAAATGCTTGATATATTTACCAAAAAAAAGTGAGTTTGTTAAGATAATTTTAAGCACCAAGGAAACAGAATGATGGTTTTGAAGAATTTTGCAAGTGAAGAATCATACTCAAATACCATTATACTTGAATAATACAAAACTCAGTAGGAAAACCGTCAAAACAAGTATAATACATGATGGATGTGGGTTTATTTTTCGTCCTAACCTACATTTACACTCACACCCTCTGAAGCAAGCTTCTATGTGAATCACTGCCAGAAATACTCTACTACTTTTTTAATTCGTATAGCGAAATATCAGTATTTTGAGGCTTGTGGACAAATGGTTTGGCCTGCAGGAAATATGATTATGTCATTGGATGGATCTTCTTAGATTATGCGAAATTGGTATAACTTGAATTCGTTGTCAACTTCACTTACGTGTAACGCGGATGCATTCGTTTTAATCATATGAACGGCATTTTATTGACAAGAAAAATGATTATAGATAGTTCTGTATAAATGCGTTCTAACGTTTTCTGTTTGAATTAAAAACAAGAAGAAACACTCACTCTACTCTCAATTAGAAGAGATTGTCACTAACTATTCAAACTTCAGTAAGAAGGGTAGGAATAAGAATGAGATTGTTTGACAATGGAAGGAGAAATCAAAGGAAAAAAAGACCAAGACAGAAAATGAAGAAATGTAACCAATTTTTGGAAATTGCTTTTTTTGACTAAATAGCTTTTTGATATTTTAGTTTCTCATCATCACATAAGCAATACCAACGATGTTTCATTGGACTTGGTAGACATACAGTTCAAGCACACTATAGTTAAAACTGATCTGTGAGAAAGATTACAAAATATCGTGTTTTCAGCTCTTGACCGAACAAGCTAGAACGAGTGTATACATACAAAACAATCAAATTATATTTTATTGTATATTAAAAGATTTGCAATTATTTTATTTTAATTTAAATAATATGTGAGAAAAATATTAAAGTTAAAGAAATAAGTTAATGTCAGTTATTGTGACATTGAGAGCCATACAGCCAAGTTAGAAATAAACATGCATAATAATAGAAAAAGAAAGATCAAATAATTTAAGGCGTTGCATCTAGCTTCAATTTCTTTTTTATTTTTGCTTTTCGCTTTCTCTTTATCAAAATCAGTTTGGCATGACTCGCATCTGTTGCAGAAGTCACATTTTGGTTTTACTCTTTGATCTTCACTATTATCAGCAATAGCATTCTTCTTTTGATTTGACTTGTCATCTTGTTTTGGTATTGGAAAACAATAACAAAACACTCTTTGCAATAGTCCACAAAAAGTATAAAGCCATTTTGGCATTTCAGCTTTTGCTGTAAAATGATTATACATGATAAACCATGTCATTGATAATAACGTCCAACAAATTGATAACAAAAAGTATAATGTGATCATCATTAAATATTGAGACTGTTGTGGAAATAGACTGGAGAAATTTAGTGAGTAAACAGAATATGTCATAAAACATGTCATACCTAAAATGCAAATAAAATATATTTATTTTATCAGTTCTATCTCATATTCAAGAAAAGAAAATATTCTTACATAGACCGATTTGTGTTGCAAATGGTAATGGATATGATAACAACGTAACACAATTTAAAATCAAACATGCAAATATACCATTCATCATAAAAAATAATGGTTTTCTTTGTAGAAATAATTGTATGGATATAACAGGATTAACAGTGTTCTCAAATGGTGCTCTATCTGCTGCATCGGTTATATCCAAATCTGTTCCACTCAATTTCCATAAAGGATGTTCACTATATCCACTGGTATCAATTACTAAACTACGGTTTTCTGTATACACAATTCTATTATATCCTTGACTCCATGATGTTAGATTAATGCTGCACATTTGTCTATCAAATGGAAACTTTTGAACAAAGAAACTACATCTTGTTCTTATTGTTAATGCTGGTAATATCATATACACTTGACCTGTATAATAGACAGATGCCAAACTATAATCGCTTACTGTAAGATAACCACTGGCATCTGCAGAATTCAATATCATTGTATCTGGTATCCATAAACTTTTAACTGGTAGCATAACTACTGTAATATTATTTGGAGCAGTTGGCATCCATGATAATCGACTATCGATCCAGCTTTGCGAGAAAAATATACTTGATGTCATTATTTGTTGTTTTTCATCTATAGCAACAATTTGTTGTAGTGAAGCAGTGATATCAATTGATACTTGTTCATCTGGTCTTATATTTTTATTATAGCGAGTTAGCAATATTGTTATTAATGTTTCTTCGACTGCTTGTCCAGGCGGTAATGTTCCGCCATTACAAAAGAGAAAGAAATAGCATACCAAGATAATAAAAGACAGTAATTTTATCATTTTAAGATTCTTTATTTCAGTACGACAGATCAATAAGACTTTTCATACCTGTTTTTCGCTAGTTGTTTTTACTAAAATATAGAAAAGAAAAGCTTTATATATGATGTCATAAAAAGCGTCTATATTTGAACAAGTTCCATTATGAAGAAAATACAGTATTTATTTTACGAATGCATTGTTTGTGCTAATGAAAGATATTTTTTCTAGGAAGTCTATTTCAAAGATGATCATTCACCACGATAGAGAAATCAATTTATTTCAAAATGAAAAAAAAAACAATGTTCAAACAACTCGGTAAGTCTTTTCTTTTTCTTTGTTGTCTTTTTTCTGAAGTCAAGAAATACGGATCGCTTCCGGCAGGAAAACGCCGGAAATCGATGGCAGATAAAATCAGTATTCCGGACTGAACAATTTGCGGATATTGCCAGAGGACTTTCGGTCAACTTCCTCTTCTTTTTGGCAGAAAACAACCGTGAATCATTGAGAAAATTTTGGATACGTTGTAATTTCGAATACTGCTTTTCTGTTTCATTGATTTCCAACATATTTTCTGTCGTTTTCAGTGAAATTCGATTCTTTTCGCGGTCTGAAGTCAGCGATCCGGGTTTATCAAACGACTTCACAGAAAAGTTTCTTATGATTGTAAATGAACTTTCACTTTATCAATTTTTATATTACCTTCATTGGTTTATTAACTTTATTTCGTCTTTCAATTTCAAAGTGTTCTATTAAAACTGTTATTAGATAGAAATAAAACTTAATTTTATTCTGAAACTTAATTTTATTCTGAAAGACTGTAACGGTTTCTCAAGAAAGAAGACAAACATAGGTTGACAGATATTTTTTTAAAAATTACTCAGAGATTTTTCGATATTATTAGCTAAAGCACGCTTGACTACTTATGAGTTGTTAGAAAAAGTGATGGCATAAGTAAGGAATTTGCATATGCTTTATATATAACAATCTTTGAGTCTAAAATAGTAACCGATCTACTAGTTGAAACAATTCTTGTACTATACGGCTTTGTTTTTTATAGGTATTGAAAATCATTCTTGAATTTTACAGTAAATCGCGAATATTTTATCGTTTGTATGGCATATTCGAATTCGATAATATAAGTTTTGCTAAATAAAGAAAATAATCTGATGATGAAACATATTCTAATGAATTCCATATTTCAACTGCATCTTTTGATCGATTTTGATTTAAAAAAAACAAAAGCATTCATTGTAATTATTAAGAATCTTCTTTTCGTTTTCTGATGAAAGTACTACCCGCTTATACATATAATGTACTCCTTTATTTTGTAGAACTCGTGTTATGCTTTTCGAATAAAAATAGAACGAGTGTAAGGTTTTTTAGTGAAGGCTTTGCGACTCTCCTTAATAGCAACAACATAAGGGAGAATTCAATGATTAATGAATGAATTTTCCTAGCAATCGAGAACAACAAGTGTCCCATTTATAGATACATTTGCTCGCTTTGCTCTTCTCAATGATGAAAATAACAAGTCTATCCAGTTACATTGTGAAGTTATTCCAAAAAACACACAAAGGTACATTACACTTCTAAATAGATATTATATGCATCGTTTCTATGGCATAACACTGTCTACTACAGTAAAGATTTGGTTGCTTCAATTAATTTAGATGATCAAACTTTTAAATATAAGCGAGATAAAGACATAATTATTGGTTGTACAATATTCGAATTGTACTTATTAAAATATCGATATTTTGATGTAGTTCAATCGATGATTTAAAATTAAGAATGACATTTGCAAATAATTCAATAGTGATGTTAACATGAATAAGTTTGAAGTCCGTTAAATCTTATCAAAATCTATTCATACTTACAAAAAATAAGATAATAAAAAAATTTTACTTATAGATTCAATCAAGAGCATTCTGATATAATTATGAACGATTGTATGGTAAATAATTCCAGTCGAATTGAACTATTAGTATATTCAAAATGTTATTTTTATATTCAATATTTTCTAGTAAAACTTGACTAGTTAATTTATTAGTCGATTCAATGAAAACTTCATTGTTTATCATTTTGTTTGTTTTTTCTTCCATCGATTAAATGTTTTTACTCTTGACTTTTTAATCAAACGAATCAGTTCAATCAGGAAAATCCAAGTTTAGCTCTTTCTCTAATGATCAAAATCATTTTGGTACGCTTTTTCTCTATTAGAAAAAAAAAACTTTCGACATTCAACTTGAAGACGATGGTATGTGGGAATATTAATGTACATTTTCTTGGTATAGTGACACGCAATGCAAACGAAGAAAAAAAGCACATTGCGGAAGAACATGATGAAAAAAGTAAACACGTACAATGATAAATGTATCATTACGAAATCAACTGCCTACTTCATCAAAATGTCCTGCTCGATTAATGCACATAGTAACACACAAGTTGGAAAAACCAAGCAATGTCGTCATTAACAAGAATGTAACACAGGTAGTTGCGAACACATACAAAACATAATTCATATATTTCAGTATCGTTTGGTACGTGAGTATACTTTATTTTCAACTTATTTAAGAGACATTGCATGCGATAATCAAGCAATTTTTAATAGCGCCACATTCTTTAAAATTTGATTCTTCTTCCTTTCTTTTATTATTACACTGTAAAATTTAAATAAATTCTGTTTTCTTGAAAACCGAGTTAGTAAAAGCTCGAACATTTTAAAATTATTTGCTAATTGTCAAATAATTTTATAGTTTGCAGAAAATGTTAGACTTGACGAAAGCAGAGATTCAATCCGATTTTTTGAAAAACAAAAGTATTTTCAAATGCATCGAAAGATCAATAACAATTTTTAATGATGTTTGAAAATGAATTCCAGTTTTATAGGAAATCAATTCAAACTCTACAACAAGGAGAATACGAACAGTAGTTGTTGAAATACCTTTCAAAAAATGGTGACTATAGAATCATTATTTAGCCACATATGTAAGTCAGTTGAGGGACTCGAGAATTTATTTTTGTGAGACAACTGCATCAAATCAGCTAATTACATAATGTGTATGAGTGTAAAGTGTGGGTGCAGTCATATGGTGTATCTTTCTTACGTATTTACATCAATACCTCACACCCTGCAGGCCGCCGTGCTTGGATAATTTCGGATGAAACGCGGATACGGCCGCGTGACTACCGTTTAACCATGTTAGCAGTTAAAACTTTTCGAATTTGAAACGGAAAAGTCAATTCAACTGTAATGGTGTACTGCAAGAGTTATGTTCGCACCTTGTTTTTCAGGCACAGTGCATGCATCTAGTACATAGATTATTGTCGACATCAGTTCTAAACGTGAAGCGAAGTTTTAGATGTTGACAGCGTCTCTGTCCAATTTTGAAAAAAAAAGTTAGTAAAGGGTTGAAAACCAGTAAAGTGGTCAGAACCCTCATTGACCACCTCATAGATGCTAATTCTCGTACATTTTCACTAGTAATATTGAGGCTTACTTATGCGAAAAGTATGAGTTCAAAGTCAAAGAAGTACTTGAAGTATTTCTCACATGAATCTAAAAGGAAAACAATACCTTATAATTCGTACACAAAAAGAAGAAACCTCTTTGGGTCACCGTGTGTTGCACCAGAACATTTGCAAAAAAACAGACGCTTTTCTTCTTGCAACGGGTTCTTATGATCTCATTTGTTAAGACTTTTTGTATATATGTATGTGTTTTCTTCGATCATAAGATTTTTCAAAGAACATTCTCCTAATGAATTTACTTAAATTTGAAAACAGATATGCTATCATCGCCATACTGTACGGCGTATGCATCATATCCTTGGTACTCTTTGAAACGTCCAAAGATTGGTATCTTAACGTGTTTCATGAATCCTCGCAGCATTTTTTCGGTCAAAGTGCTTATATCTCGACATCTGATCGCTTGAATTCAGGTGCACAATCTCTATCACTGATGTATAAAGCTCATAAAAGATTTTCTTCTGATATAAACAATCTGTACGCAAGTGTTATTGCAAAATTTATGTCACCTCTGGCTCAAGATCGCAAGTAAAATACGTGGTTTTCCGGTTTCTGTTGATCAAAACTTCCTTATGTTTACTAGTGCTCATATGCTTGAGCTAGCATTATTATCTAATGGCCGTTTTCATCATTATAGAATAACACGATACACAAAGTTCGTGACGAATAATGGAAGTGTACGAGGGATACTACGTTCAGGAAAACCTAGCGTTCATTTCGTTCTGATGCCATGTTCTGTCCTTGCATCACATGATCTCACACCTAATTTCGCGAAAAAGAACACCAGCAAACGATTTCCACATCCTGGGTTCTCGACAATACTACAGCATGTAGTTGATGTTAGCCCGAATGCTGATCTACCCGATCACGTTGATTTGTATATCTCAACCCATGATTATTCGTAGCTCGACCTAGATCGTAAATATCACGTTCCTGCATTTCGTAAATTAATAGGAAACATGGGACAGACACTGATACCGCCTCCACTTTTCAGCGTCTGTAGAAAAGCAAAAAAATTGGATATACCAGATTTGTATGCTGACCAACTTCTCGTAAATCTGTTGAAAAAGTAGTACGTAAGCTATTCATTTTCCGAAATCGAAGTGATGATGAGTTCGAAATAACCCTATCTGAATTCATAAGATGCAATGATACAGCTATTTGGTGCGGTGGTACCAGTGGTCAAACCTATGCTTTGAATAATTCGCTATTCGGCCAGAGTAGTCAACTTGTACAACTAAGAATGATGGCACCTCATTTATTGGACGCGAGATTTACTGAATGCGTGGGCTGTGCATTAGATGCTGCAAAGATTATGAATATCCCTTTTGGTCAATGGCTGAATACACGTTTTATATCCAGTGACATATATTTCACGAGAAAATTTCTTATCGATATTGAAGATAATGGTTGGTCTTCACGTTTCTACGAGTTGATGCTTACTGGTGCTACACTTTTCAAAGTGTATCGTATGAATAATTGTGACAAGTTTT